TCATGTGTTTAAATATACGTATCACGCGCACTCGCTCACTCACTTACACGCATACACAGACACATGTATGTACCTATCTACACACACAAACACTATATATATCGCACACACACAAGCACACACTATATATATATACATATATATATATATATTATATATATATATATATATATACATACCACGCACAAATACCTACACACAAGAAAACTATATATTTATATATATATATGTATTTTTAATATATATATATATATATATATACACTTGTGCAAAGACATTCTCAAGTGCGTATGTAGACGTGATTAAGTTATCGACGAGGTTTCTGCATGTACGATGCTCTTTTCATATTTTGTAGTTGTGCTCCTCTCTAAGATAACTGCTCATCAGTTTATCGTCTTTTTGGATTCTTGCACGGGAAAGTATGTGTAAGGGTGGTCGTCTGTGTTTTAATTTACTTTGAACACAATTATGCTCTTTTCAGATGACTGTGTAGACTATTTATGCTTGTGTACATCTATCTGCCTATATTACTAAACCTCCAGTCAGGGTGTTTCGGAAAATTCTGTATGTTTATATATAACTTAAGTATGTCTCCGTATATGTTCTATGTCCATTGATTTGAGACTATAGGGAAGTAGTCGTGTGTTTAGAGTATCCACGATTTGCACACATATGCCACATACACATGTCACACCCACACAGGCATAAATATTATACATATAAAACATGTGCACGCATACACACAGCATTTGCGTATAAATGTATTTTCTAGGTGCATGCCTGTATAAGGTCAACTGTACAAGTAAACACACTTAGTATTCATTATTGTGCGCCAGTGTGCGTAGTGTTATCGCACAAACCCACATACGTATATACATCTACACACAAAATTGGTCCCAATTTCCTCGTCATCTTGCATATTCTGTGGGATAGCGAGTCTGGCGGGAGTGAGTATCTGTCGCCTATAGGTCTTTGCACACCGAGCCCACATACCTTTTTGTCTGTGCTTGTGTATTGTTATTCTCAAACTCAACGGACATACTACCAGGCCATGTATTTAAGTATTCCTATACATGTAGTGTATTTTGTATTTTACTGGACATGCTAACGGGCGCATTGTGAAGCTCTCGCTGTGTAGGTACGTCACATTATAGACCTATAGAGGCATGCAGTTACCTCGTCGTCATTCATGTGTTCACGCGTGAACCTGTCACACGAAACACATACCGAGTCTTGAGGCGTTTATTGGTTTGTATTGCTTATCACTCACACTATCCTATTATGCGAACAACCCCTTCCTTTCCACAGTAAACAGTGGGTCTGGTCTCTCGCCTTACTCGCAACAGTTCGCCGGCCTAGACTTCAGCATCAACGAGACAGACTCAGGCACAGACTTCCTGTTCGAGGAGGATGCGCAGAAGAAGAAGCGCTCATGGGGTGAGACTATCTTCTACGCCACTGGCACGTCATACCTGAGTGGGCAGGTGATTGGAAGTGCCTGGGGTGTGATGGAAGGTCTTCGCAATCCGGATGCGGTGACGCAGCGCCTGAAGATTAACAGTGTGCTCAATAGCGTCACCCGACGTGGGCCGTTTATGGGCAACTTTGCGGCTGTTCTGGGTAAGCGTGGTTGATCTGTACTAGTACAAGTATTGACGTTTGGGGGATATAGGGGGGAAAGTATCCGAGAAAGCGCAGTCGTTTGAAATTGCTTTGGAATGAAAGAGTGCCCACTTCACACAGATTCGATGAATGGAAGAGTGTCATCCATTTCACTAGTAGAGTCATTAGTTTGTGTATGTGGCTCCAACTACATACTTTCACTGAACAGTTGATTCTGGGTTGATTGATATATGCCCTCTCGTTGCTCTTTTGGTTCTCTTGTTGCACCTGCGATTCACACCATATCATGCCTAGCTAACAATATGCTTGTAATTTCATATATCCCACTACAGCTCTCATGTACACCATCATCGACGGATCTGTCATCAAGGTGCGTGGAGGTACTGACGATGTCATCAACACTGTGGGTTCTGGTGCTGCTGCTGGTGCCCTTTTCCGAGCTACCGGTATGTACCAGTAACAACCGTGGAGAGCGGGTAGTATGTATGTACGCGCATCTGTAGATATATAAGTCAACTATCTCTGAATATAGGCATGGTTGGTGTGGTGCATGGTCGAGGCCGAGTTTGTTGCTTCTACCTGCATGTCAGATTGGTGTTGAGATACTACACACCATGTTCATTTCTGATTTGCGCATTCCCTTTCCTATTTTGCGCACTTCTGTGCGTGCGCGTTTGTGCAAGGGGGTGTGTGGGTGCATATCTATGTTGGTGTTTCATCGACACTCGCGCATAGTCCTCCTCAAACACTGAATGCGGAGGCTATGCCACGCGCAAGGTGCTTTGCCTGTTACCTGTCACGCTCAGTGCACATCTCTATACAATACTATACTTCATACCGCAAATTATCTATTATATTCAATTACCGAGTATATTTCCATCGAGCTGTGTGTTCGCCCGTGTTGGATAGGTTGGTGAAACTGATATGTTCTACATTCCTCCTTCTTTTCCCGTTTCAGCTGGGGGTCGTGCGATCGGTTTGGGAGCGCTGGTGGGTGCAGGTGTGGCCGGTGCCGCCGTAGCTCTGCGTCAAGTTCTAACGGAGCGAAGAAACATATAAATGTACCTGAATATGCACAAATCATGTACATATGTATGACGATACATGCAAATCCTTAGTTAACTTTGTATATAAATAGGCCAGATGTCTCTCATCACATACGATTGTAAGAGGGGCTGTGGTCGTCCACCCATACACCAAAATAGCCTATTTAATACGCACTTAGATTACGACCATAAAATTCAATATGTCTGGAATATTGAAAACCAGAACCAGAACCAAAACCAGAACCGCTGTCACTCGCCTATGTCTGTTACTCCTCTGTAAATCGGGATACAGATGACCAATCGATGTTTTGCACAACTGTACGCCTCTAGTAGTATGAGCTGTTGTCAAATAGAAAATGGCCTTGTGTTGTGCACACAGTTGTATCTGAATGGTTCTCATTAGTAATGTCGGTGTTTGTCGAGTTCGTACAAGATTGTTTAAAAGAAATGGGCGGGACGTGGCTAGAAATTGCCAATTTACAGGCCACCCACGCAATCATAAGCAAGTGAAAGCGAATAAGAAGCTTTGCCAAGCACGCCTTATATATATATATATATATATATGTATATATATATATATATATATTTACGCAGTCAAAGGAGAGACTTGCGAGAGCCTATATGTATATTTTAAGTCGAACCAGAGATCCTGATTCTGTGGTTGAGAATAGTATTTTATGTGTCAAAACCAATCACAAAACTTCAGGTCAAGATATGGAATGGTATTGACTTTATTCTGAACGCGATGTTAAACGGAGGGTGCAAACTGTAAAGGACATCGCAAGTGGAAGTAACAACCCCACAATCCATCCTCAACAGATCAATGCAAAAACGAATTTTGTCGCCCGCCATATTAAATTTTGTGTCAAATCCTTTTATTGGTCTCAGAGACTAGTCTATCTCGTTAAAACTCGAAGAAAGACACTGGCAGATATTTATATAAATATATTTAGCATCCACATCCATCTTTCTTCTCTTCACGTGTATCCAGCCTTACACTCGGGTACTCATTTGTTGGGGGAAGGGGCATATCCAATTCCTGCAGTCGATGAAGGGGTTGTACGTGCGAATCACGAGTGTTTAATGAGTTCCCATTCAGATGTGGTTCTCGAGTAACCAAGTTTCTGTTATCCGAAGACTGCGCACATGATCGCGATGTTCCTTAGCCTACTCGGAAGGCAAGCGTAATTGACTCAATTGTGTCGATGTGGATGTGCACAGGTTGTACCAGGGACATCGAGCCATGGTTAGCTGAAACAAAGGGCACCTAATACGCATACCACATCGTATTGGCCATCGATATGCGCCGTTTCAAACAGCGATACCAAATACTGAGTTGAGTGATCGGGCAAGAAGTGCAAGTGTACTCAAGTGTAGCGCTTGAAGGAACCTCTTTACCAGTCTCTTACACCCAGTCCTGGCAGGCCCGATTCTTCTATGGTAGGGGCGTATTCAACCACAGAAATATGTAGTGAAATATATAGTATGTATGCTATCTGCCCGGTATGTGAAGATATGAGAAGGACACACCCACCTGTTCTAACGCAGACTTCGCAATAGCTTCGAAGGCCTTTTGTACGTTCACATCGTCTTTCGCACTGGTAATAAAGTGTGGCAGATTACCGTTTTCCTGTGACCAGTCCATGTAGTCTTCTTCCGTGACCTGATGATGACCAAATCAAAAGGCATTATCAGATAGACTCCAGATGAATTACAAGTAAGCAATATATATACATCTGTATATATATATATATATATATATAAATATATATTTATATATAAATATATATATAAACATATATTTCTATACATATATATATATACTTATATTTCTATACATATATATTTTTATAAATATATATATATACACACACACACACACACGATATATATATATATTTATATATATAGATATATAGATATATATACATATACATAATATATACATACACATACATACATACATACATACATATAAATATATACATATACGTATACATATACATATACATAAATATAAATTTATATATATATATATATATACGTATACATTATTATTATATTATTATATTATATATATATATATATATATTGGTTGGTGTATGGTGTGTGTGTGTGTGTGGGGGGGGTGACGGGTCGAATAAATGTGCCTCCACAGAGACTACATGGTTCACGCATTCTAATATCCGATACACGTGCACCAACAAATGTGGATCGACTGTGTTCGCAAATTTATACAATTGAAGCGCACGAACATATAACGAGCAATGGGGAGGGCTGGAATACAGCAGAACGTAGGAAGCGACAGAACAATTACCATACGTCCAAGGTCTCAATTTAACATGTACCATTCGTTCGCTGATATCCGTTCAATGCGGATATACCACGCGTTTTGCAGCTAATTGATGCCATACCTGGTGATCTGGCAAGTCTGACTTATTGCCGAGGATATATATGGGGAAGGTTCCGTCATCCTGGATGCTAGAAAAAAAAAAACCAGGTAATTAACATGAGGCGTGTGAGAATCACGCATCTATTTGTGAAAATGCAATCAGATGATGTCGTTGGCAGCATGTAGCATATTCCTGGAACTGACCAAAGAATAAAAATTATTGGTATTTAAACTTGCACACATATTATATATAAATATAGATATATATATATATATATATATATATTATAGATATAGAAATAGATATATATATAAGCATATATATACATACATATACAACATACATACAAATATATGCCATGAACCAGAAGATTGTGACGTAATACAGAGGTCACATTCGTATGCTATATGAAACTGTTACTTGTGAATTCATATGCTCTAAAATTGCGGTACTTAAATAGAAAACCAATATCGTCCGCGTAGCGTTGACATACGGAAGTGACGAGCCCGCTAAACAACTAGTGCCCCACCAAAAGGCCCCCTCCGTGCATATAAACACCCAGCCAATCAGAATTGACTCGAACTATACAAACAGAATCTGCATATACTTTTAAACATACCCAGCTTGTGCTAAGAACTCTTCCTTCCACATCGAGAGACTATCGAAAGTCGCGGCCACCGTGACATCGTACACCAATATACAACAGTCGGCTCCTCTGTAGAAAGCCACGCCCAAACTCTGAAACCTTTCTTGCCCTGCTGTGTCCCAAATCTATTTATAGCACAGTGTATAAAGCGCCGACAAAGCTGGTGTTAGGAGCAAGAAGCGGGGCATTTGGGACCACAAATCCAGCGTTGGTATTAAATCTAAACAGGCACTCAGTGGCCGAATCTTGGGCCATGCCAATTCTCCCAGTGCAAAAAGAGGTGTATAAAAGAGAGTGCCAGAAGAGGTGTATAAAAGAAAGTGCTAGATGAGGTGTATAAAAGAAAGTGCTAGAAGAGGTGTATAAAAGAGAGTGCTAAAAGAGGTGTATGATAGGGCTAGATGTCCACAGCAATGCTTGACATGACAGGCACCGCGCCATCTGCGGCTGATTGATAGTTACCTGGCATACAAGTATGCGTTGAAATTCTTTCTCAACAAGCAATATTACATAATATACCGAACTATCCCCCGGCGCATCTATTAACTAGGTGAATACTTAATCAAAACTTGTCAATTATAGTAAAACAAATACGCCCGTACAATTCTCGAAAGTTCTGCTATACGCTTTGGGCAGTGAGCCAATCGCTCTTTCATACAGCGACGAATAAAAACAAGGCACAGATGAAGCAGGTTTAATTCGCAACATACCTGAAGTGTTATCGCTTGTCCGTCGATGTTTACTTCTTTCGTTAGAAAATCGGCACCAATCGTGGCCTAATACCGAGTGGACAATCAAAGAAATTTCCAATAAGCGCCTGAATCACAGACTAAGAAAAAAGATGCACCTGATGACAATGGTGTATGAGGAGGATACCTCATTATTTCTGAAGTATTGAAACCTCTAAATGAGAATGAAAACCAATAGGACCCATCGCTTGATATATATCTTATTGATTAAAAAGCGCATAGATGTGCTTCCGGCCGATATTATACACCCTTGTATGTCAGGAACACATAGGCACACACACACACACACACACAGAGAGGCAGAGGCAGAGGCAGAGACAGAGACAGATATATACATAGAAACACACACACACACACACACACATATATATATATAAATCATCAGATGGACTTACTATGAAGCGATCACAGAAGTTAATCAGACTAAGTAAAATTTATAATACTCCCAGATGAGTGCCGAAGATACATCCCGCAAGGCAGACAGAGCTGTAAGATATTATCTCAGACGACAACACAACCATGCATGCGTGTTACACACACACACACTCATGAGCCTATCCAGATGGCGGGACCTCTCTGGATTCGCGTCTTACACATGTACTCCGGTAGCGATTCACTGATACACGGCACTCGTATAGAACTGTACACTACCACTGACACTGTGCCGAGCCGCACAATCGTCACTATATAGAGCCAGTACGCTTCTTCTACCACGGTTCCAATCAAACATACGAACGTATTGGACAGATACGTCGACTTGCATACCCATCTGCAACAGGACAGACAGATGCCGTTTTCAGCGGCGCACCTATGTACTATCCACACAAACGCAGCATAGGAGGCCGCACAATGAGAACATACGACATTATGTGTACAATCAGCAAACGTGCTACGAACGATGTACACGCATGCCAATCGCATACAACCACAGAGAAAGATACACACGTGCGTGCGGATTGGTACACTTCAGAAAAGATATAGGCCCGCTCAACAGGCTCTGACCGAGGGTGAAAGATAGAGAATACACGCTCAGGTGTACGTATAAATACTATGTATATCATCTATAGGAATAGGTTGTGCCTGCATGTAAATTATGTACCTTATATACGGGATTAAACTTCTTATTTATATATCTGTTCATAATGGCGGTCTTTCCCACCCCGCTATTGCCGAGGATGATCACCTATAAATATAAATGAATGAGATCATATGATAAACAGTGGTGCCCCGCGTACATGGTCGCGTTCGAAAATAACTGCATAATCTAGACCTACTATTTGAATTCGTTCAAAAGTAAATCAAAAGCAAAAACCTGTTCTCAATCGCTTCACATTTTAGGAGTTCACACTCGAAAGGTATTCATATCCCATACTAAAACATACACATAAACGGGCATATATAGTAACATACACATAAACGGGCATATATAGTAACATATTTAGTACAATGAATAGAAATATAGTAATATAGTAATGTAGTAATACATACATACATACATATATATATATATAAATAATACTACATACATACAGAACACACACACACTCTCTCTCTCACCCACCTACACACACACACACACACTCACCCACCTACACACACACACACACACACACATATATATATATATATAGATATATATATGTATATATACATTTACATTTATCATACATACATACATACATATATATATATATACAACTTATATATCTTCACACACACACACATATAGATAGATATAGATATAGATATATATATATATATATATATATATAAATATATAGACAAACACACACAAACACACACATAATATGTATATACATATATATATATGTATAAATAAGTATATATATACATATACGTACACACACACACACACACACATATATATATATATATATGTATGTATCGAAAGAATGTATGTATGTATTTATGTATGTTTGTATGTATGTACGTATATATATATATGTATATATATATATATATGTATATATATATATATATATACACCCACACACACACACACATATATATATATATACATACGTATGTATACATACATACATACATACATACATATATATATATAGGCATAAAATTGGTTTGCTATCTTCTCGACAAGTTCTAAAGCTGAGTATTCCACATCAAATAGCTATGAAGGTAAGGCCCACCCAATGTTATACGCTCATTGTGACAACTGGGCACGCTTTTTCACTGCCTGACTCTCTATCACACAACTTTGTATGAGAACCATAGTAGAATTAACCCGAAAACATCAGCTGTTCCGTGCGATCCATTTGGTTTTACTCGTTGAAGTTCATAGTGCATAGATTATAAACCAATACACAAAACCCTATATATGCAAATGTCTTATGTGGTAACAAACATTTTAAAGAATAAGAGCCTGCGTACACCCTATATATGTAACACTAATCTGCGTTTCCAGATACAACTACATAGTTGCCCGGGAAATATGCATACATTTCCCTGAGCTTCACACAAAGAAGTCATGTACAGAGATTCACATGCATACCTTGAGTAGAACTTTCCTTTGCGACATACTTGCAGGGGATATATGTGTATGTATATAGGATATGCTTCTTGTGTGGGTGTAT